CCTCCTACGGATACCGTTGATACGAAAAATTCTGCATGTCCCTAGTATACTGTAGTACCACAATTCCCAAGGTTTAAGGTACCCTAACCCCTAAACCCTAAACCCTAAACCACTAAACCACTAAACCCTAAACCTGTTACTGTTTGGAGAGGCTCTTGCCTCGTCGACTTAGCGAGCGAAGAAGCTGCGAAGCTGGCGTGGCTGCCGTGCTGGATTGGGAAGACCTTTAAACTCCAGGGTTTAGGGTTGTAGGGTTCTAGAGTTTGAAGGGTTCAGGGATTTAAGGTTTAGGGTTTAGGGTGTGAAGGGTTTTGGGTTTTAGGGTTTAGGGTTTTAGGGGTTTGGTGTTTAGGGTTTTAGGATTTAGGATCGGGAGACCTTCGGATCTTAATAGAGGCTATAATGGGCTATATAGGGATAATGGAAGAGAAAATGGAAACTACTATAATCGGTCATATAGGGATTAGAGGGTATATATTCGGATTATATAGGGATAATGGAAAAGAACATGGAAACTACTGTAGTATATTAGGGTAATAGGGTTTATTCAGGGTTTAAGGTAAAATGGAACATATAGGGACTACAGAAATCGCCTTTATGGATTGCCTAAGGATGTGTTGCGAAACTCCTAAATGGGCCCCATGGGTCCAACGCTCAAGCAGCTTAGGTGCTCAATATCTAGAGCCTTTCAAACCCCGCCCTTTTTCCTGACACAAATATGCTGCGCTCAAGAGTCAAGAGCACCCTCAGAAGAATTGCCCTCCCCCCAGCAAATATGGAAGCTGATATGTGTATGCAGCTTGCTTTTTGGCCTCCATGTCTGTTGGGGAGAGTGTAAAGGTTACCCACTGGAGGCAAGTGACAATCCAACGTCTGCAACTGCATGGGCTACTGCAGCCAAAAGGATCGGACTCAACTCGCTTAACCTGCCATCCATAGATCTCCGCCAGAGGTCCCTGACCTTAGTCATGTTTTCCCTATGGTGATCTCTATCAAATGCCCCCAAGCTGGTCCCTGAAATGGTCCCTGTAACCCATTCCCCAGAGCCCAACTAAGCATGAACAGGCCACAACTTCAGCAGACAGTCGTCCGCACCGTCGCTGCGCACAAAGAATGATAGCTGCATCATGGGCAGAGACTTCCAGATGCTGCAATTGGGATTCCACTTCCTGGAATACTGCCGCCCCAGGCCCACCTTGGGGTCCGGAAACGGAGTGGTACAAGAAGCTATACCGGGACCCCAAATGTATGTAACATAGCGGCCTTTGATTGGTTGGGGGCTATCCTTTTACATAAATTTGGGGGTCCAGGTACTCCAAACAGGGGGATCTTCTCAGTAAGGCCACAGGGGGATACCCAACCATCCGAGGCTTCCACCTGGATCATCCAGCGAGGGACGAGTAGCCGGCAGACCCACGCAGGCGTAGGCCGCCATTGCCCTCGCCAAATCTGCCTGATGGCTAGTTAGCATCAAACGAAGGAATTTGAAAGAACATGGACGCTACCATTTGGGGCCCGGAATGATGCAGAGTCAGGGGATTATTGGTGGGTATCTTCTATCGGTCGCTGGCAGAACGCGTTGCTCCGGACCTACTACACTGGACACTTTTCCGTCCCTAGCGCTCATACATTCGTATCTTACGTTACTTTCCCTGAGCCCTCAGCCCTAAGACTTAAACCGCGTGGGTATTACTAATCACCAGCAAGCTGCCGCAGAGGCTGTTGTAGCTGCAGCCTGGACAACAGCCGGAAAGCCATCCTCAGCTGGTCTTTCCATTAGCTGGCTTGCTGTTAAGGAGTTTAAAGTAAGTTACTATAGTTATTGAGGAAACCATATTAATTACTTTATTATATACACCCATTATGGTAACTTAATGTAAGTTCCTTAAAGCCAGCCCAGTTAGCTTTTCCTTCGGCCCGAAATATACCGTCCGTTCAGGGCTTATGTGCCCCGCTAGAAGCCTGGCTTTTCAAATATTATCCCTTAACAATTGTATAATCTACCCCGCGCCCACCCCAAAGCTCCATCATGCTCTTCAACTCCCTATGAACAGTAAACCCGAAAGCCCTAAACCCAAAAGCCCTAAACCCCAAACACTCCTTGAAAAAAAGTATCAAGCTCCACACAGTACCAGACGTCAACCCAGGATCCTTCCAGAACCTGCTGGATTGCTGTTGAGGAACTGAAATCAGGGTTATAGCGGTCATATAGGCATTTCCCAAAATTAGGGGTACCATTTTGGGTTTCCCCATAATAAGGACTATAGTATTTGGGGTCTATATCGGGGTCCCCCGCCTATTTTGGAAAACTACCATATAGCGGAGGGGCTAAACTAAGTGTTTAGGGATTCTCAGGGTTTCAGTTTTTATGTTCAGGGTTCGGGGATTAGGTTTTGGGTTCAAGTTACCCATGGAGAAGCAGATGGACGAGACACTGAAAAGCTCATACCATGGCAACATTTTGTAAGCTCTAAGTTTCCCGGGCTTCTGTAAGAAATTGTCATGCCAGCTGCTTGTGAGAATTGTGGATAACCAAATTACACCTTACTTTCGGGGAACTGCCATAACCGCCTAAACAGCCGCCCAGGCCCTATAAACCCTAAATACCCTAAACCCTAAGACCCTTAAACCCTAAAAACCCTCAAACCCTAAACACTAAACCTAAAACCCTAAACCCTAAGACCCTTAAACCCTAAAAGCCCTCAAGCCCTCTAAAAACCCTAAACCCTAGGACCCTTAAACCCTAAAAACCCTCAAACCCTTCTGAGCTTCAGCAACCCTGCCTTGCATCGGCTGAAAGAGCGCCAGACTGACCTAGGACGACTGCGGCGGCGGAGACTTCGCCGCAGGAAAACAACGGCTTCGCATGTTTGCCTGGGTTGTGCTACTACGTGGCTTGGGTTTAGTTTACGGTCAAGGAAGTTAGCTTGGAATTGGGAACAGCTTCAAAACTGATTATGGATACCCACAGTGAAGGACATGAATCATGACCCCAAAGTGCCACCTAGTTGCTTGTCCCCCTTGTAGAAGCCAGAACTGCCCGGATCCAGGAAGCATAAACTCCGGTTCTGGGCTCTACTTTCGCCCGAGCACATGCCAAAATCACGGCCGTAGCATCGGCAGCATCTTCAGAACTCCGGATGGTAGACTTCCCATCCAGAAGGCGCTTGCGGGCATCCGCAGCGTGGCGCCACCACAGGTGCGTGTCCAAGTTTTGCCGGCTCAAGGATAGCCTGGGTTGAAATATGAAGGGCACAAATTATCCGTGCATTGATCTGCTCCTAGAAGCACTACAGGAAAGTTAGGATTATTACGGTGGATACTAGGAGTTTAGACTATAACCCCTATAATCCCCTATATAATCTAGTTTCCATTTCATTTTCCATTTTCTTTTCCATTTGATTCTCCACTCTAGGGTTAAAGTTAGGATGATCCCGAATGCCACCTGGTGGCTCCACGGCTTCTCTGAGGGCAGTCCAGCTGTCCACGCTATCCAACTGCTGCTCCAGGTCAGGCCCTCCATCGATGAATTCGAAATCGAGTTCATTTATGCGCGTTCTGGGCGCCGACGTGCGGCTGGAAATCTGTGCTACCTCCTCATGCCAATATAATCCCCAATATAATACCCCTATATAACCCCTATATAATCCCTATATAACCCCCATAATTCCTATAGTTTCCATTTTCTTTTCCATTATCCCCAATATAACCCCAACATAATATCTCTCTCCTCGTGCTGCGCACCGGGAAAGCAGCTTGCCGCGGTGGTCGCGCGCTCGGACCCTCCTTTGGAGCTCGCGCTGCGCTTGCACCAACCAAGCCTTAGCATGAGCCCTCGCAGGACTGCGCAAGCTCAAGGGTTAGGCCTTACTTGGACTTCCCGGATGCTCCAAATAACAATCGGCAACCCCACAAAACAATTGCTTTTGGGCGGTCTAGGTATAACCCATTCCTAAATCCTCAACCCAAAACCTTGCTAGTTTCTTTTCCATTCTCCTCCCTGGTACTATCCGAAAAACTCCCTTTACCCTTTACCCCCCTTTACAGAGACCTTAATGGCTAAGGCCCGGACCACGGCTCCGATGGGAGCTGATGGCTCTTGCAATGGGAGCTCCGCTGCCCGCGGCACCTCCACCCAAGGAATTGACAAGGAAATGGAAACCAGGTATCATCTAGAGGTTAAGTTATTGGGTATTATGTGGAGGTTTTATAGGGGTTTTGTGATTTTGTGATTTGAATTTAGATTCCGGAATGGAAAAGGAAATGGCACCTACTGTTTAGGGCCTTCAGGACTCAGGGATAAGGGCTGAGGGTCTAGGGGAAGTACTACAGCATTATACTGTTTAGGGTTGAAGGATAAGGGAATGGACAAGAATATGAAAATTACTTGTTCGAGTTTGGGGAAACTACTTTTTCACTGGGGTTACAGGGCCTCCTCCTCTGAATCCTATGTCCATTACTCTTGTTTTTGCTCTCAACCTTACCATTGCTACTCCTATCACCATGACTGTTACTATGAAAACTACAATGGCTATACGGCTATTACGATGGCTCGTACTATTCCTATTAGCATTCGCAGAAGCAGTCCAAGGCACCAGCCAAACAGGGCTTGACGTGCAGGAAGCTTTCCCATGCCATCATTCAGCAATCGGTCTCTCTGAGCCGGGATAATAAGGGAGTAAGGAAGGGTTCGGACAACGGAGAAATCTGGATGGTAATAGGATTTCCTTTGTATTTGGCACTATCCCCCTCGAATTAAGGTTTGTCAGTACTTGGACCCCTATAAACACCAAGTGGGTCAGTGGGTCTATGTCTTGGCATCCCGCCGTGATGACATGGGGATCCCCTAAATCCTAAACCCTAAACCCCTATAATGAGGCTTATAGCATTTGGGGGTCTGTATTGGGGTTCCCCTATTTTGGGACACTACTGTACCATCATCTGGGTCGCTTTTGTCTTCGCAGGTTGCAAAAGGTACACAGAGCCTTGTGGCTCCTGAGGCTCGAAAAGTAGTTTTAAACCCTTAGTAGTTTCCATTTTCTTTTCCATTATCCCAATATAACCCCTATACATCTACCCTATAATCCCTATATAACCCCTATAATCCCTGCAGTTTCCATTTTCTTTTCCATCCTCCCTATATATGTATGTGTATATATATATATGTGTAAATAAAGATGACAGTCTCCATAGAAACACCTGCCCCAGTGCTACAATGAAATTCTTGTCGCTACTGTTCAGGATCCCTCTGGTCCTTATGGTTCTTTCAACTATTCCAAGCTTGGTTTGCAGGGCAATGACGCTGCATGCGACCTTGTATGCCTTGAACTACTTACAAGGCCTTCTTATAGGAAGTATGACCCCTAACTAAAAAATCTTTGGAAAACACATATCCCTATCAATCCCTTGAAGATTAAGGCCCTATCCTACGTATATCCCTATATGGCCACTATATCTACTACGTTAAATGGACCCCTCATTTTCCCTATATAAACCCTTATAGTAGTTTCCATGTTCTTTTCCATTATTCCTAAACCCTAAACAACCCTAAACCCTGTATACCCTAATCTACTATAATAGTTTCCATTTTCTTTTCCGTTATCCCTACATAGCCTATTATAGTAGTTCCCCTTGAAAGCGACCCCTCACATCTATTTGGGCAGGAGCCAATGGCTGCAGAAAGTGTTGAATCAGGCATGCGGGAGCTTCGTAGGGAATAAAGAAGGAATCTGGAACAAGGGTCTAGAGATTGGGGTTTAGGATTTAGGGTCTAGGGATTGGGGTTTAGGGTTTAGGGTCTAGGAACTGGGTTTTAGGGAATGAAGCAATGGAAAAGAACGTGAAACCTCGTACAGCATGCTGTTGAGTGTGAGATGAGATCATGGTTATATAGGGTTGTATAAGGTTTATGCGGTTTCAAGAGTGGACTACATTTTGGGGTGTAAGGAATCTACTATAGGGGGATGGAAAAGGACATAGGAAGTCCTTTTTTGGCTTTAGGGCATTTCTGTGTAGGGTGGGGCATAGGAGAAAACCATCAGAATCACTGCAGCATTGGGGATTTTGCGGGGTGCAGGGTTTAGGGAACCCTAAAACGCTTTCCCTAGTAGGAGCCAGCAAGATGAGTAGGCTGGCTCAGAATTCTGGGTGCATGTTTGGATAAACAGGAAGGCATGGGTGGAAGTATAATGGGAGTAGGTGAGGAACCACTCATTCTGAGAAGCTCCTATGTCAACCGTGTGCAAAAACCTCTGCGTCATGAGTTCCCGAACCAGCCCCCTGAAAGGTGTCCTGCTTCTTCAGGCTTTGTCGGCCCCAAATAAAAGGAGAACTTTAGGGAGGATGCTCCAGGATGTGTGGTTGAGGAACCCATTCCCGAACGCCCCCCGCCCACGGCGCCTGCATGGCTTTAGCGCCATCAGGCGGCCCAGTTGGGGAAGGCGAACCCTGTGGGGCCGCAGGCAAAACTCATTGGTTTCTGGTAGAAAGGGATAGAAAGGAACATAGAAACTACTACATCATCTAGGGTTCAGAGCCGTATAGGGGTTTACAGCTTCCCAGGGTTTGGATTAGATAGGAACTAGTGCTCTAGGGATCCCTTCCTGTACGCCAGTAAGCCAGCAATGAGATCCAAGTAATTTATCATATCGGTTTCTCAAATAGGGTGTGTTTTGGAGCCTAGCAGTACAGGCCAAAACCCTGAACCCTGCGACGGATTCTGTAAGGTCAATGTTGAGCAACAGACAGACAAGATCCAAGTAATTCTCTCAGCAGTTGCTCAGGTTCCCATAGCACGGTTGATACTAAGAGTCCTGCATGACCCTAAATACCTTCTATCTTGGGAATTGTAGGACTTCGACATGTAAATTAAGATCAGGTAAGATGCTATAGGAGCTTCCATTTTCTTTTCCATTGTCCCTATATAACCAATATACTATAGTAGTTTCCATTTTATTTTCCATTCTCCCCAGATGCTAAACCCTAAATCGTAGTTTCCATTTTCTTTTCCACTATCAACAAATGGTAGTATCAACTTTGCCTCAGGCGACGGGGGAAGCTCCGGTGGCGAACTCCCAGCCTCAGCGTTGACTGCGGATGGGGCAATGAGGGGTATACTGCCGCAAACTACCAGGGAGGTCCCAAAGCCTGTAACTACAGTACTCAGGGCCAAACAGATAACGGAGAGCTTGCGTATGACCAGCTGAGACGAACCAGAAAGGGCTACCTGTATTGCAGTAGGAGTCGACGAGTGGGAATGCGGGCCAAACTTATTCAGGGAAATCCCTTTGAACTAAAACCCCTCGAAACCCTCAGACCTTAGATCCAAACGCCCTAACCCTCTACACCCAAATCCGAAAGCCTGCACATTTGCAAGGGAGTTCCGGTCTGCAAGCTCCTCAGCACGAGCTGAGTCATTGACGGAGGACACAGGCGACGGCTGCAAAGCCTCATGGTTCCCACTGATTAAGGGAAGTTTAGGTCTCACGGTTGAGAGGGGCGTGCAAGTGCGTGTAGGTAGGTAAGTATGTGGTATGTATGTACGCATCGTATCTATATGTACGGGATAATGGCCAGATGATGTGGTATAGCAGGAATTCACAGGTTCACACTGGCTGGTGCTGGCCGGAGGGGGGGGCAAGTCCCTATAAAACGTCTATACTAGTTTGTTGTATTCGCTCCCTATCTCCCTGTTAAGTACCAGGAAGCAAACCCTAACCCCACAGTCTTCAACATAATTACCCCAAACCCACAACCCTATGGCCCCTAAACTTAACCTGAAAATAGATGGGGAATATCATACGGCATGCCTCTTCACTTCTTGTAGGGGTATGCCACTGGCATGTGTTGAACATGTCTTTGCAGACCCTGGCCTTCCGCCGCTTTCGCGCTGGGGCGGTGCTCTCCTTCAACAACCGAGGCATTTTGCTGGGGACTGGTCAAAAAACGAACACCCTGAGGGACCCCAGGGAACTCAGGATACACAGGGTCTATCAAGGAATAACATAAGGGCCCCAACTGAAAAGGACTCTATCGGGCTTGTTTCGAGAAATTCCCAGTTGTGGACCGAATGAGCGATTCATGAGGCGTTCTGTGCATTTTCCAAGCATTCTCCAACCAATAGGCAGCACTCGATGGGAAATGTATGGGGCGTATGAGACATGCTATAGTAAGTAGGGGGACTAGTGATGGATTCCTTCCAGAGAGTCTCTTTGAGAAGGATCATGTGGGCAGTAGGGAATAGCTTTCATTTTTGAGAAATACCTATGTGAGCTATTGACCATGACGTAAATGACTTCTGTGCAATGGGAACTATGGGAGGGAAAGTTCTTGCAAGTGCTGAGACCTTGTGAACCCTAGGGATTAGGGTAGATTCTGGGGGCTCTCAAATAGGATAGACCCCTTGAGAAGGACACTCGAGAAATTGTGAGGGAACCCAGGGGATTCTGAGAGGCTCTTCGGGATCTCTTTGAGAGATACGGCTTTGCAAAAATTTCTGGGGAGTCCGCATAATCAGGATTCACAAGAAAGCCATGCTTCAAAAGACGCCGTCAAATCTGAACCGATAGAAAAATTGGGGAACTCGGCTTTGATTTCGTCCTCCACGATATCGATATCCTCCACTAGGTCCAGGGACGGAGCCACAGCCTGAACGAAGTCAATCTGGGGGGGTGGGGCTTTAGGCTTAGGAAACAACATGAGCCATAGTCAAAACTAGTGTCCCCCTTAATAGACCCCTATAATACTCCCAGATGTAATCCCCTATATTAAGGGGTTCAGACTGCAGTTCATATGGCACGCACGGCTTAGAACTTGGGTTCAGGTCAGGTTGAGCTTGTGCTTCGGACTGTTTAGGTCTCGCGAATGCTATTTGAGGTATAATGTAAACTCCCTAAAGGCGGCTATATGGGGGATTATATAGGGGACTGCTAGAAGGGTTATTAAGGGGGATACTAGGAGTTCAGGCTTTGGCTCATTTGATGACTTCTCCCTTCATGCTGCCATGAGGGGGATTATCTAGCAAATCAGGATCCACAAGTCTCCAAAGCCTGAACCCCAAGCCTTAAGCCCTAAACAACCAAACCGACCCTAAGCACATAGGGCCCATGTCCCACTGGTTTTCGATTATAAAGGGTTTAGGGTTTAGGGTTAAATTATAACATATTTGGGGACAGGTACTCTTCGGAAAAAAACTAACACGTAAAACAAAACTCGAATCTGAATCGATCCAGCCTCCACGTCCTCCTCATCTTCGTGCTCCACGCACGGAACCTTGCAGGCTCCCAAGCATGCTGAAACTGGGATGGCTCAACTCTTGTGCACCTTTTGGGGTTACGGGTCTTGTGAAAAGGTTGTGTACATTTCGCCCCTGGTGGGTTGTCAAAATCGCGGTCTTTTGATCCTGGGTAGGTTGTCAGTCTTGAGTACCTCGGCCCTTATATAGGCTACCTGGCTACCCACAAGGGCCCATGATTTTGACGACCCCTACATGTGCAGGTTGCTGCACATCGTATACTGTATTCGGGAGGTTCCCGTTTTGGGGCTACCTTCACAATGAAGGGACCATGATTGACGGCTTTTCATATGGGGTTTTGGATCCCAATGCGCCAAAACCCTTCCTTGCCCCAAGAGGGATCCAACCAGCCCCAAATAGGTATGTTTCGACTCTAGGCCGCTACAAAGCCCAAAAGGGGCCCTTAGGTTTGGAGACCCCCATATTATGGGAGTGTCTGAAAACGGACGTGCCTGGAATCAGGATCTCCTGCACGATACAGCATGCATCTCCATTCTGAACTCTAGCATCTTTTCTGTGTTTCGCCCTGCCCCCCAATCCAAAAAGATGTCCATGCATCATCTTCAGGGTATCCAGAGCTTAAATGGTAGGTTGTTAAAACTAGGGTCCTTTATTGGCTACCCTTAGGGTTTAGGGCCTAACATTTAGGGGACTAAACCCTAAACCCTGAACCCTAAACCCTGAACCCTAAACCCTAAACCCTAAAGTGGCAACCATGAGCCATAACTTTGACCCACCTGTACCCCGTATAGACGGCAACACACAAAGGCGCTTACAACGGGGACTCTCAACAAGTGTGTTCAATTTTATACGGGCTAAACAAGTTATATAGGGATAATTGAAAAGAAAATGGAAAGTACTATCTAGGGTTCCAGGTTTAGGAGGGTTCAGGATCAAGGGCCATGTCATGTCTTTAAAACATGACTTTGAAAAAGGCATCTCAAACTTTCCAGACACGTTACAAAATCCGACACAAGCCCTATGCATATAATCTCCATGTTACCATTGCTCGCCACCGTTTTTGATACCCCTTCACAAGCCAACACGGAACCACCAAATGGTCCCGTAAAGATTGCAGTCGTTCCAAGGTTCCGAGTCATTGAACCCTTAAACCCAACCTAACACTTTAAATCCTAAACCCTCAATCTCCGACTGTAAGCTGAAAGCCAAAAACCCCACACCCTGAACCCAAACCTCTGCACGCTGAACCCTATATCCCAAATTTCAAGGGGTTCACAAGCCCCTAGAGACCGTTAATTTCTGGGAGTTGCCAACCCGCAATGGCCCCTGAGCCCGGAACCAAACCGTTCTTTGCATCCTCGACTGCCTGCATGGTAAAACAGGGCTATCCTGCTTCAGGTTCAGGGTTCCAGGTGCCAATGTAGGATTACTGGAAAAGAAAATGACGGCTACTACCTGGGGTTAGGGTATAGGGACATATCACAACCCCCTAATGGAGATTTATACAAGTGAAAAAGAACAAGGACAATGGAATGGAAGCTGAATGTTGACAGGGTTAGGTGAGATTTAGCGGATTGAGGGGTTTCGGGGAAAAGGTATCTCAAAGGGTGCTGCAAGGTTCAAGAATTTTCGGTTCGGGGTTAGGGCTTAACATGGGGTTTACAAGGACATCATCCCCCTAAGTAGATAGAATTCAGCTTTGGGTATATAAGATCCCCATAGACCCCATATTCTACCTACTTAGGGGGACTATATTATTAGGCTCCTCCTTTAGGAGTGCCTAAGGAGTCTCTTGAGAAGCTGCCCCTTTTGCGGTGCAGCTTCCATCAGTAGAACGGAGGCGACAGCGTGGTACAAATTGGTCTGCGAATATTTGCTGCAGCAGCAGAAGAATCCAAAAGTACATCAATGTGTGACCGTAACAGCGGAATAGCAAGAACGAAGCTACAAGAACAATGTATAGATCCTGTCACTATTTCAGTGATATATAAAACTCTGTAGCTAGTAATGCTGGCCAAGACGCAAGAAGCTCCGAGCTTGAAAACCCCCCGTGAACATGCGATAGTTTCTGAACCTAGGGACCCTCCACTTGGAGGGTCAGGGGGACTCAGTAAGTGGGTTAACAGGGGATAACTAGGGTTACAACATGCGGTATAGTGGTTATTAACCTACTTACTAAGTCCCCCTGACCCTCCAAGCAGGAAAGGATCCATGATACCGAGATGTGACCCTACCCACGTCTCAACCACAATACGGGACCTCATAGTGATCTCAAACTATGTGGGTGGTTTTGCCTAGGGATCCACATAGCCCAATGTAGGTAATATTTACAGACCTTGAGGCCCAATGTAGGTGTTATTCATGTACTTCCATCACTTGGATCTGTAGGGTATGGGTTTCTTCAGGCACCCTGGGGCTAGCGGGGAATTTGCAATTGATTAAAATGGCTCCTACCTGCCCCTGATACTCAAGGGTGCTATGGTTTGGAGTTTGGGGCTTAGGGTTTAGGGTTTAGGTAATAAAAGTTCCCATTAGACTTTGGGTCATTTCCCCTTACAGAACATCCTGTCCCGAAGGAGTTTGAAGTTTGTATTAAGGGGCAATTACAACTCCCATTGTCTATTGTGGTAACTGTTACTGTAAGGGGTAATACGCCAAATCAAATTACCCTTAGGGCCCAAGTACCCAAATAATACTGCTGTGGGTCCCACATACTATACTCTGAATGGTTGCTGGTACTTAAAGGTCATCATTTGGTATTTGGACCCTGCAGGTTTTAATTTAATGGGAATGTCGGCTGTCCGGTAGTGGGTAGGGCCGGTGGTTCTCCACCATAAACCATAGACCCGAAATTCCCTTCCACTAGAAGTGCGCCTTCTTCCTCGCTTCGGCACGCCTCTTGCGCTCCGCTCGGGCCTGTTCGCAAACTTCAAGCTACTTTAAATGTATCAAGACTACTTGGAGGGTTAAGGGGACTTAGTAAGTGGGTGAATAAGGGGGATAACTAGGGTTGCTATATGGGTTATAGCGGCTATTGACCTACTTACTACGTCCCTCTGACCCTCCAAGTATTGTCATCACTAGTTGTTTATTGTGATCATTGCGATTAGTCGATTAGTATTGCTGTTATCATTATTGTTATGAGAACTATTCTTACTATTATGTTTATGGGGACTTTTCCTACACATGGTTTTGAACAGGGTTTAGGCCTGTAGGGCTTGAGGATTGAGGGTTTGGAGATTTAGAGTTGGTAGAGAAAGAAGGACTGGGTCATCGGGACTGTGGCAGGCAATGATGTAGAGACTACTTGCGCTATAGATCGCTATAGGAAACCATTAAGATTAGGGTGTTCGGGTTTAGCTGGGCTTCGGGGTTTGACCATTTTTCGAAGCCCACATGAAGAATCCTATGCGATTGTGTATATGGACCCCACAGGTCTAACAGGACACCTAAAATCCCAAACTTCTCATTTTACCGTGGCAAGCTTCACTCAAGCGATTCAGAAATTGTTTCGCCAGAAGCCCAAACAATGTTCCTTTTGAGGGCTCGTCAGCCTCGGCTCCAGATAGCCCAACGCAAGTATTACTTATGGGTGTCGTATCACTTATAGACTACAGCCTCATGGGACTGCCTCCGCGCCGACGCACTTGGAACCTTAAACCGTAAGTCCTGAACCCCAAACCCGAGATCCTGAACTCTAAACCCTAAACCAACCCCTATATAACCCCAATATACTATAGTAGTTTCCATTTTATTTTCCATTATCCCCAATATAACCCCCAAATTACCCATTATCATTCTAGCATCCTTGCAAATCCTATCCTGAACTCATATTTATGGAGCCCGAAGCGACAAATTCCCAACTCTCACTCTGGAAAGCTTGATTCTCGCGCCCTAAACCCTAAAACGCAGGCTCTAAAGCCGAAATCACAACCTCAACCCCAAAGGTAGGTAAATAATAGCACAAAGCACCCAAATATAACCCAAGAGGCCATTATCCTACACACGTTTAGGGGTTAAGGAAGTCCTAAGTTCTCAACTGAAGACCTCTGAAATCCAAACTGTAATATCACAGGTGTACTCCCCACGCACTACTGGTGGCGTAGTCAAAGAACATATTCCCTTCTCGTCGCGATTCGTGGGGTCCATCGTGATAACACCACCCCTAAAACAAATGCGTTCAAATCCTAAACCCTAAACCCTAAACCGAGAAAAAAAGGGGGCACCATGTCTTGCTAGAGGGGGCTGTTTTTACCAAGGTGAGGTCAAAGGGTCAGGGGCGGGAGGTTTGAGAGACCTTTGCGTAGCTGTAATACATATGTAGCATATATGAGTTTGCCACCATAGGGGTACCCCAATGTAGACCCCCAATATACTATAGTCCTTATCATGTGGACCACCACAAAGGTACCCCCCCCTCCAAAAAAAAAAAATGGGAAACCCCATATGTTGGCTGCAAATTAAAGCCTAAACCCTAAACCCCAACCCGAGTTTCGGTCCGGTTTTTGAGTCCTACCAACGTGCGAACAGCTGATAGGAGTTTGCGCCTTGGCTGCCTCAACTTCTCTTTCCGCGCGCTCCTGCTAAAACCGTTGACATCATAATGGTTAGTATTGATACTTCTCGCATATTTTATTATTGAGATTATCATTAATATTCTTTTTGCTAGTAGTATTTGAGTAATAATCATACTAATAATTGTTATTCGTCACGTTATTATTAATACTGCTAATATTATGATTAGTAGTATTGTTGTTATAACATGTATATATATATATCCATATGCATGCATATACGTATATATATATATACCTATCTACAAAACTGATATGCATTCATTATGACACTCATAGCTGCACCCAGAGTCTCTTTCTGCGTGTCACGCCTGGTTTGTGTTCCGACGATTGCCTTTCTGAACTTGGGTACTCTCAAGGACCACCGGAGAAATGGAGACTGTCCTGTAACCCTTTCTTGAGCAACTCCCCTAGACCCAAGCCCTAATCGGGGCTTTGGTGCCTCACTGTAATGGCTTGTGGTTTGCGCTATGGGGTCCAGGTCTGCCTTGAATGTACCCCTAGAGACTGCCCACCTGCAATGTTGAAGTCCGCCATGCAAGGGCGCTGAAAGTATCCGTAGTGTTCGGAAAGTAGCAAATTCTCATGATCTTAAGTAGTCCTGTTACCACTGCCTGCAACTTGTTGAGAAAGACACTTCGTGCATCATAAGCAAATGAGCTATATAGTCTAAAATCCTGGTATCCCCTTAATAATCCCTATAATACTCCCCTAGAAAATCTCCTCTTTAAGGAGTTTGGACTACAGCTCCACTGAGCTGCTGAGTCGAGCTTGGAAGGTCTCTTGGCAGACCCTAAAGACGGCCTACCTTTACTATTATTACGATCATTCTTACTATCATCTTTATTGCTATTATTTCTATGATTATTTGCTATCATTATTAGTATTACCAATATTATCATTATTATTGCTAGTTCTCCTCCTGCTCCTGCTTCTTCTTGTATTCGTGGTTCTACGTCGACATCTCTTTTGTGTCGAAAGCTATGACTGCTAGCATGGCTACTCTTCTCAAGGCATGCAGACACCTCATATCGGATTACACAAGCAGGACAGCAATCTTTCAAGAAAGCTTTTGGGGATTCCATGCCAGTTCTCATCCCTACATGCCCTGGTTCCTTGTAGTTTTGGAAAAAAGTACGCTACCTTGAACCCTAAGCCAAAGCCCTGAGCCTACACCCTTAGCCCAGCCTGAACCCAAAGCCATAGGCCCTAAATCTAAAAACGACCTTACACTCTAAGTTGTGTAGCTCTTCAAACGTCCTTTGCAAGGCGCTCGGCCCGGGCTTTTTCTTTGGCCTCAGAATGCAACAGGCTGTCAGTATGGGTGTGTATGTACATGCAAATAAACGAATGAATGAATGAATGAACGAACGAACGAACGAACGAACGAACGAACGACTGATGGAATGAATGCCACGGTCTGGAGGGTGCCAGGCAGAACCCGAGTCACAATAGCACAGGTTCTCAGTTCTGGACGAGTTGTCTCTCTTTCCTGCATCAACGCTGCGTGCAAAACACACATCAAAAGACTTGCGTTGAGACATGGCCTGCAAGTCTGGTTTCCTAGATGTTTCTAGATGGTATTCAAGCTCTTATGGGAGTGAAGAAGGGACTTTTCTACGCTATATCGGTAAAATGAAGCGCCCACCTTTCTAAGCTGAAAAAGCGCAAACTTCATGTGGTACTGTGCGGAAAAGAAATGATGGCGAATCCTTGAACCCCCCCAAACCTCAAGCTCCTTGACTTACTGGGGCCTAGTAGGGAGTAAGGGAGTATATCAGGGTTATGTAAGGATAATGGAAAACACGATAAGGGAATATGCCTACTATGACGGAGAACCATATTATGGAAAAGAACATGGAACATGAAATGGGAACAGGGTTTAAAGCGGCATTATAGGGCTAGTTTCTGGGGTTAGTAGGGAAGAAGGAAAATATATTTACATAGGAAGTATACAAGGATTGTATTCCCTTATTTCCTACTAGCCGCCAGTAAGTTAAGCCCTGAAGCCCCAAACCCTAAACCCCAAACCCCTAAACCCCCGTGGAGGTGTGTCTCAGTCGCAGTCCTGGCTGCCTTCTCCTTTTCAGCAGCCTCCTCTCTCTCTTTCTCCTGGAGCAAGGGTTGGGCTGTTGGATTTATGGGTCTACGGCTTCGAATTTAGCCCCTAAACCCTAAACCCTAAACATTTAGGCTTTGAAGGTTCATGGGTGTAGGGTTGTAGGATTTAGGGATCCAAGGTTCAGGGAGCAGAGCCAGAAGAGCTCTTGGCTTTGCTGAAGACCATACACTGAACAAACGTTACGCCAGCAATTGTTGACAGTATATATTGGGGGTTATATAGGGATAATGGAAAAGAAAATGGAAACTGCAGGGATTGTAGGGGTAGTATTTCGGTAGTAGGAATGGGAGGGTTTAGGGTTTTAGGGTTTAAGGTTTAGGGTGTAGTAGGAGTAGCAGGAGTAGCAGCAGCAGCGGTTGCAGCAGCAGTAGCAGCAGCAGGAGGAAAAACAACAGCAGCAGCGGCGGCGGCGGTAGCTAGTACTCTTCCTCTGCTGCTGCTTGCCGAAATTTTTAAGTATGAAGCATGACAGTGTAAGAAATGGCAGCTAGTGCCAAGCATTGTCATGCTGAAGACAGAAATTGGAAGTGACACTGCTCTGAAGAATTTCAAAGTAGCTTGTCATGGTTGTTTTCCACAGAACAGGGGTTGCCTTTGCTATGCACCCCCTAATGCCCGGATCCTTATACTCACTTCACACACCCCATAAGCAAGAAGTATGATGGTGCAGAACCCCAAACCCTCGACGATGAACTGAAACCTCTAAATCCACAATCCCCTAAAGAGGCCATACGGCTCTTAAACATGTTCAAGGTTACAGTGACTTACAGGGTCTTAGAATAGCTGATCTTAAATCCCCGAACCCCGAGAGGACCCAGGAAGCCGCATGGTAGTTTCCCTAAATAGAGCGATCCCAATATAGACACTCCAAAACTATAATCCTCATTATGGGTATCCCCACAAGGGTACCCGTAATTATGGGATAGCCCCACATAAACATTGGGAATTTCCAAGAAGGATTCTGCAGAAGCACCAGTCTGGGAACCTTATGCCCTCAATGTAGGATGCTTAGGTTGTGTGCCGCCCCCTATAAACCCTAAACCTCTAGACCCTAAACTGAAAAAAACCCTAACCCTAAACCCCAAAATTCCTAAACCCTAACCGCTAAAACCCTAAAACCCTACACCCTAAACCCCTAAACCCTAAAACCCTAGAACCCTACACCCTTAAACATGCAGATCCTCGCGCTCACGGGCTTCGCGCTCCGCTTGCTCTTTGGCTCGGCGCTCTTCCTCCTTACGAAATTGCGGCCAAGACTTTAGGATTGAAGGGTCTAGAGTCTAGAGGTTACATTTTAGGGGCCTAGAGTTGAGGATCTAGGGGTCTAGAGTTTAGAACCTAGGGGTCTAGGATTTAGGGTTTAGGATTTTGAGCTCGGTCCCAGCCTGCGGACATTCAATGTGCTAACGCCCAGGGGCAGACGGACCTCAAGATACCCGTGCAGTCCCCATGCAATCCTTCTGAAACCTCCTATCATCCATGGTAGCGTGCCATTGTACACTCCACGAAACACAGGGCTCTTTCGTCATACGGGCACTCGGAAAGGCACCGCTTTGCATCTTCTTATTCCTATGGACTCCATTACATTAATGGAAGCTCCGTTACCTTGATGAGAGAACCCAGAATAATAACTAAAGATGACTAACCTGACTGACAACGGGAAGAAGCAGAATTTTGGCAAGAAGGGAAGAGGTCCTTAACCCCTTTGTTATACTCAGCCCATTTCTTGCGCTGCAGGCACATTAACCTGTGTGTATCGCTGCGAAGAGAAAAACAGTTCCATACACCCCCACCCTGCATGACCTCACATGGTACCCCTCATCCTTAACCCTTCCTTTTCTGATTCCTAGTCTAGCCGACAGTTCTCCATAGCCCAGTACCCTTAGCCCTAAATCCGACATTCATTTGGATTCTGGATGGCTCCCTAAACCCTAAACTGCACCCGGAAGAACTGCACATTAAGATGTAGTCTCCAGCAATGACACAGAAGGCCCTATGTAAGCTGCGGTTCCAATTCTTTTTTGCACCAGACCCACCAAACTCTGCAAACCCACGACCTCATAAACCCAGTAAATCCCATGAATCCAGTAGAAATATAAAAACCCAACCCTGAACCCAAAACCCTAAACCCTGAACCCTAAACCCCAAACCCTAAACCCTAAACCCTAAACCCAAAACGCAAAACCCTAAACCAAAAGCCCAAAACCTTAAACCCTAAACCCTAAACCCCAGACCCTTAACCCTAAACCTTAAACCCTAAGCAGCTCCTTCTGCTTCTTCTTGTTGACCCTTCGGGGCTTGGACTTGCCGGTCCCGGGTGGGCCAAGGCCCAGGCTTTCGCGCAGGAACGCGTAGGTCTGCACAAGGAACATAAGGGTTACATAGGGATTATAGGGTATGTGTATAGGGATTATATTGGGATAATGGAAAAGAAAATGGAAACTACTACATTCTAATAGGGGATATATAGGGGATAAGAAGGTTCAAGTTTTGGGGTTTTAGGAACTTGGGGAAGGTAGGGGCCTCAACTACTCCTTTAAAAGGGGTTGTAGGGTTTAGGGTTTAGGGGTTTAGGCACAAGGAACCAGGGTTTTGGGTGTAGGGTTTAGGGTTTAGGGCTTAGGGTACGGAACCCGGGTAAGGTAGGGGCCTCAACTACAACCCTTTAAAAGAGGTTGTAGGGCTTAGGGGTTCAGGATTTAGGGTTTAGGTTGTAGGGTGTCATATAGGGTGTAGGGTTTTAGTAGGGGGCTAAACAGTGAGAATTAAGTGGACAAGACAATGGAAACTGGGTAAACAAATACGAGGTCTTTTTGGAGGTTTTAATGTAGGGTGATGGACCAGTAGGATAGGGCTCTCAGGTACACTGGGCGACATTTCTATAAGGGATGAGAAAAAATGGTTGCTCAGGCTTCTCTGGGGCTTGGGGTTACGGACTGTATGTGTAGGGCTTGGGGTTTGGGGAATCGAAGGTCTTGGATCTACATAGGGCGTAGGGTTCATTGAGGGTTTAGGGTTTGAGGTTTTGGGTCTGAGATTTGGGTTCTGTTCACTTCAGGGCATGAATGTTCCTGGAATCGCATTGTCTAAGGTTGCTACTTGAAGGTCCATTATACTTATAACTTACTTAGTAACTGTAGTTATAACCTAAATATAAGTCCCATAACTACAGTTGCCCTAGATATAATTGGGTTATAACCCTAAACCCTAAAACCCTAAAACCCTAAAACTCTAAACCCTATATATCCCGA